GTAAGTAGATCTGAATGTCGTCAGCGTAACTATGTTTATCTGACCCAGAGGGAGCATGTACAGGTTGAAGAGTAGTGGTCCAAGAATTGAATTCTAGAGGATTCCATATATCATAGTGATTCATTCAGATGTATTATCACCAATGGAAATAAAATATAACCCCCACTTTCAAGATGCAATCTGAACCAACTGAAAACTGTACCTGATAGCTGCTATTAAAAATATTTTTTCTGCTTTTATTTTTCAATCAATCTGGAAAATGGAACCATTTTGTCTTGTCAAATTAAGTTTAATTTTTATGAGTTTATGCCCCGACCCAAGATTGCTTTCTTTGTGTTTCTGTCTGGCCTTACCAGGATTATGTAACATTTGGGTCCAAACAGTGCCACCAAGAGGCCAAAACTCGAGGCCAGGATGGCAAATACCTCCACTGCATCTGCATATTTCCCTGGAGAGCTTACATAGGCAGGGACAAATGCCACCCATACAGCACCGAAGATCAACATGCTGAAAGTGATGTGTTTAGCCTCATTGAAGCTGTCTGGAAGGTTTCTTGCTAGAAATGCTAACAGAAAACTGAGGAGAGCAAGAAAGCCAATATAGGCCAGTAACACTGCAAAACCAATTGTGGACCCAACTACACACTCATAAACTATCTTGTCATTGTAGTATTGAGTGTTTTTATATGGAGCTGGTGAAACAGAGACAAGCCAAGCAGTGCAGATTGCAGCTTGAACACATGTAAGAACCAGAACTGTCCATCTCTGTTGCACAGCACCAACCCACTTCAGACTGGCTCCACCTCCTGGTTTAGAAGCCTGGAACACAGCCAGAACCACCATGGTTTTGACCAAGATACTTGAGATGCAAAGCACAAAACTGATGCCAAATGCTACATGTCTCAGTTGGCATGTCCACAGTGTGGGACGTCCAATAAACAGCAATGAACAAAGGAAACATAATTTAAGTGACAGCAATAGCTGAAAACTAAGTTCTGAATTGTTGGCACGTACTATAGGTGTTTGCTGATGATAGATAAAAATCCCTAGGACAACAGCACAGAAAAATGTGCCCAGCAGTGATGTAGCTGCCAAGCAAATACCCAGAGGCTCATGGTAGGAGAGGAACTCTGTTTCCATAGGAACACAGTGGTCCCGCTGGGGGCTGGACCAGAAGTCCTCTGGACACTTGGTACACTCTGTGGAGTCTGTGAAAACATGAAAATTTATGTTTGCATGCAACTAAACTGCAACAGCAAATACATTTTGAAGGAAACTGACCAAAATTACTATAAACATAATGAGTAAATGATAACACATTTCGCAAGATGCAAAATGCTTACTGTGTTGTGACAATAACCCAACAAATTAGTTTTGAAGAGTCTTTAGCATTATTAAACTTTTTATGGCTATGTTTAGGTGACTGCAGCACTTGGTTAATGTTCGGTACCGGAGTGAAATTGGAGTGTGACATAGGGCAATTTGCTGTCACTTTTAAAAAAGCCAAAAATCCGCCCGCTCACACTCCACTCCACATGCTCTGATGTGCACGTGACCTAGTGTGATTTGTGTGAGCTGGTTATGTTGTGATGTAATTAGCCTAATTATCTGTTTTGCATACAGGTCAAACAGGTCCATAGAGGATGCCATTACTGCTGTTCTCCATCCAGCCTTCACCCACCTAGATTCAAAGAACTCTTATGTGCGAATGCTGTTCCTAGACTTCAGTTCAGCATTCAACACAATCATTGCCCAGCAGCTTACACAATAACTTGGACACTTGGGACTCAAGACCTCTTTCTGCAACCGGGTGCTGGCCTTCCTA